AAAATGAGAGTTTCAGACAAATTATAAGCTTCGTGGTCTATGTCTAAATTAGGAATAAAACCAATACGATTATCATCACGATGATGATGATGAAATAGACCACGAAGATTATAATTTGTATGAAAATCTAATTTTAATTTCATTTGTTCACGTATTAATTCGATACGTTGATCAATGATATGAAATAATATTTCATTTGTTATTTCTTTTTTTTGTAATTTTAATTTTGTTTCATATTGATAGATATTTGTTTGTAGACATAGTAAACGTAATGACATGAGTTGTGTTTTAGTTCGCTGTAATAATTTTTCATAGAGATCCTTGGATAGTAATTGAAATTCTAATTTATCATAAGATCGAGGTGGTTGATCGTAGAGCAGTTGTAATCGATGATAGATTAATTCATAGTTCATGGTTGATAATTGAAAACTTGTATCGAATATTTTTTGTCCCATATCTATCTATTTTATAAATATCAAAATTCAAATTAATATATATATATAGAATAAAATTCTCAAGTTACTTGATATTTTGTTGAAGCTTCTTTTTGATATTGAACCTGAAGTTGATGATCATGATATTTATTATATAATAATGCAATAGTATATTCAGATTCCATATGAATTTCGATTAAACCATATTCATTGACCAGTTTTTCAATAACATCTTGTATATAAGAGTCCATTTTACATGAATCATATTCTTTTTGATAATAATCTAATTTAATTTTATAATCATTCAGTTGTTGATGAATGAAAGTTTCCTGATATGCCCAATAGGGTTGTTCATGTTGGATTGATTTTAATAATTGACCAAGACCAGCTTGTAAATAAAGTGACCATAAATCATGCAAATGTTTATAACGTCCTAGTTCATAGAGAATGTATGCTATATGTCGAAGATCTTTTCGATCTATTGTACAAGTTAATTTATCCAATTCATCTTGTAGATATTTTGGTATTGAATCATCATCATCATCATCATCATTCTTGTTGGTCATTGACAATTGACTTAATCGTTGTGATAAATGTTCTTGTGGATCATCTTGTATTATTTCATGTTCATTAATATCATTTCTATATTGAGTAAAATAATCATCTTCTAATTCATCATCATGTGTCATTATACCATATGAATCACCATCAATAACGTCGAATTGATTAGAAAATAATTTTGAATTTTCCTCCATGTTGATCAAGCCAAAAAAAAAAGAATAATCTAAAATAAATCAACCATAATAAGAGAAATGCAACAAAAAAAGAAAACAAAATTATTTTTCATGATAATAATAACAATAAATAGCATGCACTTTACGTATCATCAAACTAAAACGTTGATCAATCAAATTTAATATCGTTTCAGAGAATTGCTCTTTCACAGGTAATGAATGTTGATAATTCCAGAATAGAGATATATCACGATTGAATGTAGTTTGTATTTTTGAACAAATTTCTTCTGACATAGTAATCAATAATCGAAGTAGTTGATGTTTATAATCCTGAAGTATTTGTTTATGTTGATCAATGAATTGTTGTTGAATAATATGATCTGTAATAGTTTCAATAAATGATGGTATCCCCACATGTATATAACGAAATGATGATGGCCATTGATTTTCTTTTTGATAGTTTTTCAAATGTTGAATTTCTTCTCTCCATAATTCTAATTCATATTTTCTATTGACCATTTGTTCAATCATTTCCATCTAGAATAAACAACAATATAATCTTAATTCAAAAAAAAAAGAAATTTCTTACTTGATTTGAATTATGACTTTGTAGTTGTTGTTGAATTTCTTGGACTAGTTGTTCATCGTCATGATCATAATCATAATCAAATAAATGAAAATGTTCTTCAATATCAACAACAACCATATCCATTGAAGAATTACAACAATTAGCAATAACTATGTATCAAGAACGAAAACGTCTTCATGAAAAACAACTTTGGTCGACATTATTGAAAACAATCGAAAATGGTTTACATCGATGGCCTACCATGTTAAAACAAGTGATTCTATCTATGAATATAGTTCGTAATCAATCAATTGAATATTTTACCGATGAAATGTATTCAAGATTTTTTTTTACTTTTCATTTTATTAATCATCATTAGTTTATTATTTTTAGTATTTTATCGACGATATACTAAATCATCATTATCGAACGAAAATTCAATTTGATTTTGTCTTCTTTTTAGATAATGTTTTCAATTGACGACAACTTCAAATTGGATTCCAATATGTTGATGATCATTATTTTGACTGGTTTATTTTTGCTTGTGTTGGCAAAATTTACAACTTCTATCATCATGGATATATTCAAATTATATCAACAAGGTTTACATTTTCACTATCCTGTTCCTCATCATCATGTTATTATTGACTTTCAACATGTAAAATAAAATAAAATAAAATCATACTAGTTTCTTTTTGTTTCCTTTTTGTTTCATTTTCTTTCTCTTTGTCCATTTTCAGATAATAATGGAATCATTGAA